AGCGGATCACTCAAAGACACGCGAATATTCCTCACAGATTTCTAAGATCATTTTCCAACAAAACAACGATGTGATTAAGGAATTACAGGGTTTTTAAAGAAATGTTTAATGTGCATGCATGCAAAATGATGCTCTTTATTATCATTACTGCATTTTATAAACATGACCATCTAAGAGTGGAGTTGCATCGCCTGTCAATCAAATGATTTATAAGGTTTAAAAAAAATGCACACCTGAAATCTGCATGGCTTATTGAATGCATAATGTGCATGCATGCAAAAATCCTGCTGAATGATCTGTTTAGTATCATTACATTTTATAAACATCACAGAACATGACAGTCTGGTTGCATCATCTGTCAAAGCACGATTCACATTATAATACAAAGCAAAAAATAAAATATATAAGGATTTTGATATGGAATGCATTATGTGCATGCATGCAAAAACATGCCACATGATCTCTTTAGTGTCATTACATTTCATAAACATCATAAAACATGACTAATTCTAATAAGTCAAGTTGCATCACCGGTCAATCAAAGCAGGATTTACAAGATTTAAAAAATGCTAGGAACAAAATTCTTATAGACTGCATTAAGCACTGCCTAATGCATTCATAATGTGCATGCATGCTAAATCTCTTTAGCCTCGTTACATTTTATAAACATCTTAAAACATGAGAATCGGGTTGCATGACCTGTCAATCAAACAAGATTCACATGAAAAAAATGCAAAAAAAAAAAATTCTGCACTGCTTAATAAATGCATAACGTGCATGCATGCAAAATCCTGCCACATGACCTCTTTAGTATCATTACATTTTATAAACATCACAAAACATGACAGTCTGGCTGCATCACCCGTCAAAACACGATTCACATTATAGTAAAAAGCAAAGAATAAAATAAAATAAATAAAGATTCTAATAGACTGCATTAAGCACGGATTATTGAATGCATAATGATTTATAAACATCAGAAAACATAACAATCTAATAACAATAAGAAGATTGCATCACTTTTCAATTAAAGCATGATTTAAAATATTTAAAATAATGCTTATAAATAAATAAAACAATTCTTATAGAGTGCATTAAGCACTGCCTAATGAATTCATAATGTGCATGCATTAGGCATGGGACAATTACCAGTTTCAAGGTATACCGTGGTTTGGAAAAGTCAAGGTTTTAAAACGGTCCAAACTTTCTTCAATACAGTTTCTAAGATATGTGTAAAAAAAATTATTTACTTTTTTGTTTTTGTTTTTTAGGACAGCAGTATCTCCAGCAGAAAAGATGCCGTTTTAAATTGTAAAAAAAATCTGTTTTTGAAACAAATAAAGACAGCAGATGTCAATGATTCATTCAGCCGGACACGTTTACTGTTCCAAAATATTAGAAATGTTTTTCAAAATAAAATATATTGTGTTCAAATGGAAATTTAATATTATTATTTTTATACAGACATTTAAAAAGAACTTAATTTAGAGAGCAGTAATCACAATACAGAAAAACCTTGAAAGCGTGATATTTTTATCCAAGGTTAACATATCGTCAGAATCTTATACCAGCCCATGTCTAGCTAGCATGCATGCAAAAGCACACCATATGACATCTTTAGTCTCATTACATTTTATAAACATCTCAAAACATGAGAAGCTAATAAGGGTCAGGTTGCATCACCTGTCAATCAAACAAGATTTAAATTATAAAAAAATACAAAAAACTAAATCTGCACTGCTTAATGAACGCAAAATTTACATGCCGGCAAAATCCTGCCACATGACCTCTTTAGTATCATTACATTTTATAAACATCACAAAACATGACAGTCCGGCTGCATCACCCGTCAAAACACAATTCACATTATAACAAAAAGCAAAGAATAAATTAAAATAAAATATATGAAGATTCTGACAGACTGCATTAAGCACGGCTTATGCAATGCATAATGTGAATGCATGCAAAAAAACACTACATGACCTCTTTAATATTATTACATTTTTTTAAAACCTCATAAAACATGACTGATATCTAATAACATGTTATCTAAAAAGCAAAAGAAAAAAATATTTAAAATTCTGATAAAAGAGCTGTACTGTGATTTAACATGCATGCACATTAAGCAATGCTTAATGCAGTCTATAGTATTACCACTACATTTTATAAACATCACATATCATGACAATCTAAAAAGATTTGGGTTGCATTACCCGTCAATAAGAGCACAAATCACATGATAAATAAAAATGCTAAAAAAAATGTATAATAACAGACTGCATTAGGCATGGCTTAATGAATGCATAATGAGCATGCATGCAAAAACACGCCACATGACTTTTTTAGTATCATTACATTTTATAAACATCACAAAACATGACAGTCTAAAAACAGTCCGGTTGCATCACCTGTCAAAGCACGATTTACATTATAATAAAAAGCAAAGAATAAAATAAAGATTCTTATAGACTGCCTTAAGCACTGATTATGGAATGCATCATGTAAATGCATGCAAAAACACACCACATGACCTTTATAGTATCATTACATTTTATAAACATCACAAAACATGACTGATATCTAATGACATGTTATCTAAAAAAGCAAAAGAAAAAAAATAAGAATTCTGATAAAAGAGCAGTGGCATGATTTCACTTGCATGCATACATTTTATAAACATCACATATCATAACAATCTTAAAAGATTCAGGTTGCATTCCCTGTCAATAAGAGCACGATTCACATGATAAATATAAATGCTAAACAAATGTATAAAAACATTCTGATAGACTGCATTAGGCATGGTTTAATGAATGCATATTGTGCATGCATGCAAAAACACGCCACATGACCTTTTTAGTATCATTACATTTTATAAACATCACAAAACATGACAATTGAATAACAGTCCGGTTGCATTACCTGTCAAAGCACGATTTACATTATAATAAAAAGCAAAAAATTAAATAAATAAAGATTCTGATAGACTGCATGAAGCACTGATCATGAAATGCATGCAAAAACCTGCCAGATGATCAGTACATTTTATAAAAATCACAAAACATGAGAATCTAACAAGAGTCAGGTTGCATAACCTGTCAATAAGAGCACGATTTGAAAAAGCAAAAGAAAGAAATAAAAGAAATGCATGCATGCACATTTTGCATTAATTAAGCAGTGCTTAATGCACTCTTTAGTATCATCACTACAATTTATAAACATCACAAAACATGACAATCTACCAACAGTCTGGTTGCATCACCCGTCAATCAAAGCA